CTCTGAGGACTCACCTTCGATTTTAGTTCTTCAAAGAAGCCCTTATTCCACATGCTAGACCAGTGGTGGTATGTGTAGTAACTAGGGGCCTCATATCAAATTCTACTCTGGGTCCCCATGGTACAGCAACAAACAAACCAAGGAACAGATCACTGCGCAAACAAACAAACAAAAAGCTTTCCTCTGTGGGAGGAAACTTTGTTCTGGAGAAGCAAGGATGAGGTTCTTGCCGGGGGTGGGGGTGGGGTGAAGGGAGCAGGGAGCTAGGTGCAGTGGAGGCAGGAGAGGGTGTGTTTTTCTTCTGCGTGGAAACTAGTTTCCCTAGGAAGATGCTTCAGTGTCTTGGGTGATTGCAGGAGAGTTTTCTAGGGATGCCCAAGGCAGCTGTGGAATTGCCCATCTCAATGACCGTATCAGCTCAAAAGCATCTCAAATTGTTCTTTCTTTTTTGTCATCTTTACCTCTGACCTGGGCATAAGCTCTCTTGAGTTTCTCACAGCCCCAGGGTTTGAAATCAAGGCACTGACTGCTTTATTCGAGTTTTGTCCTGGCTTGTGCCCCCACTGTACACCTTTGTGGCTTCTCATGCTGCTCCCTTGTGGTACTTTTCACCAAATCCTGTAATTATTTGCTTAATGGGGTCATTCAGGACAGAAGGGCCACATTTATTGGGCACTATTATATCTCCAGTGTCTAGCAGAGCTCTTTGCTCTTGGCAGGTGCTCGGTAAATGTGGAGTAAACAAATGAACACAGATACACCAACAAAATCTCCTCTGATTCTTTCTTTTTATTTTATTTTGCTTTATTTTATTTTAGAGTCAGAGTTGCACTCTGATGAGACTCTTGAATGTGATGAATACTAGTGAGTGAATCTATGTGGCTAAACACAGGTGAGCAGTGGCAGCCGTACTAGTCCTAACAGCATACCATCCAATAGTATCATTTTAATCTTTGGGATTTACTTATAAAACATTTTTTTCAATCAAAGTATGTTGATATATTTGGAAAGACTGAAAAGATTGCCAGGTGTGGTGGCTCACGCCTATAATCCCGGCTCTTTGGGAGGCCGAGGAGAGAGGATTGCTTGAGTCCAGGAGTTCAAGACCAGCCTGAGCAGCATAGTGAGACCCTGTTGCTAAAAATATAAAATTTTTTTTAAAAGCCAGGCATGGTGGGATGCAGCTGTTATCCCATCTATTCAGGAGGCTGAGGTGGAAGGATTGCCTGAGCCCAGGAGGTCGTGACTGTGGTGAACTGTGAATATGCCACTGCATTCCAACCTGGCTAACAGAGTGAGACCTCAACTAAAATAAATAATGAATGAATGAATAGATAGATTAAAACAACAGATATGAAAAGAAAAAAAATTCTATTCGGAGATTGCAAGTTATTATTACCATTTTTATATCATTCCCTACCAATTCTCAATCTTGGTTCCAGTTTCATTCTTAGTCTCTGTCTCTACTCTAACTTTTTCCTTAATTAATCTTTGAGCTTACTGCACATACTATTTTCTAACATGCTTATCACCTGGATGGATATTTCTGTTCTAAAAATTTTCACTTATCTTTTCTGTGGACTGCTGCCTCACGCTCTCTGTGGTTTCGTTTGTCATATAACTTGAAATGAAAAAGTGACTGGTTTACTTCTAAAATGAACGTAGTTACTCACAAAACACTGCTTGGGCTATTCCTGGGAGAATCCCTCTTGAACTCCTTCTCTGTGATTCTTGACTCCAAGTTTTAGGCCAAGCTGGGGAGTCTGAAGGGTGACACTTGTCAGACATTGTTTCTTTGCTACCATCGTCTCTGAGCCAAGACCTGACTTTATTAAGCTGAAGTCGGACATCAAATGAATTTCTCAATAAAAAAAACATGAAGGCAGCATTTTCACCCATTGAGTTCACATAAAACTTTTTTCTGTGACATATATTTATAATTTTTTTGTGATCGGCAGTCTTTAGGATCACAGTTTGTTTTTAGGTTTCTTGTAGTTACTAGACTGTATTTGTCATTGGAGTGTAAGAAGTAACTATAGTGTTTGACCAAATCGTGTTGTATCGTTAGAGCAGTTAATGCCTGGAGGTACAAAATATTATTTTCTCAATGTGGCAAGGGGCTATCATAGATGAAGAACTGTAGAGATCTGTATTATTTTATTTTCACTATTTCAAAATCCTAGGCCAATACCAATGGTGAAAGCCTAGCAATTTTATTATTTTCTTTTTCTTTTTTTTTTGAAATGGAGTCTCACTTCATTGCCCAGGCTAGAGTGTAGTGGCATGTTCACGGCCGCTCCAGCATCAACCTGCTGGGCTCTGGCGATCCTTCCGTCTCAGTCTTCCAAGCAGCAGGAACTACAGGCGTGCGCTACCATGCCTGGCTAATTTTTTGATTTATTGTAGACACAAGGTCTCGCCAAGTCGCTCGGGCTGGTCTCGAACCCGCAGGCTCTGGCAATCCACTCACCTCAGCCTCCCAAAGTGCTGGGATTACAGGCTGAGCCACCGATCCCGGCCAATTTTATTATTTTCTAAAGGAGCTTAAAGTCTCATGTCTTCAAACTATCTCACTAATTGATGGTAACTCAAAAGAAAAATGCCTAGGGAGTGCCGTTTTCATCTCCCAGTCAGTATGTGAGTGGAATTTTTCTGTCATTAGTCATAGATTAAAAATACTGTTGACATATTTGTTTCAAATTCTTAGTTTAAAGGTTTTCGTTTGGTTAGTATTTAAACTTTTTGGAAATTGTTTTCTTAATTGGGCTGGGATTTTATTTTTTATTTTTGCTTTTGAGAACATTGAATTATATTTTAATAATATGAGGGGGGATCCCCACAAACCCAGAATTATCTTTTGGAGGGCGGGCCCCTTGTATACACTCAGAATTTGTTCCGAGTCAAATGGTCAACCAAAGTTTTTATCTGGAAGTTTTGAGAAGGTTGTGTCAAGATTTGTGGAAGATACATCCCAAGTTGTGCCAAACAGGTGACTGGTTCTTCCACCATGACAACACACCTGATCACACCTCTCTGCATGTTCAGCAGTTTTTGATCAACAACCGTGTGACCTTCATGCCCCACCCTCCCTATTCACCTGATCTCACCTCAGGCAAATTTTTTTGTTTCCCTGGAGGACAAAAATCCTCAAAGAATAAAATCTTGCCATTGTGGAACAGATGAAACAAAAAATGATAGAGCACCAAAAGGCATCAAAATTAGCAAGTTCAAAAACTGTTTTGAGCAGTGGAAAAAGCATCATGATAGCTGTATTGCATCAAATGGAGGGTACTTTGAAGGCGACTGACGTTTAAACATGTGGGAATAAATGCACAATTTTTAATAAATAAATTCTGGGTTTTTTTGGGGGTCCCCTCTCATATAAATAAGGACTGCTACCCACAGTTATAATGAGCCTTTAGGGGAAGAGGTGAAGGAAAAAATGCTAGTGTTTTTAATAATAGAAAGACTAACTTCGTTTGGGGAGCTGTGAGTCTCCACATATCTGGGTATGGATCAGAAGGTCAGCATATATTTTCCCTAGCGGTGTTCCAAGGAGTGGAAAACTCTTTAGACAGTCTTTTATTGTCCTAAGGAGTGATATCCTCCTTTATATCTATTTTCCTTGTCATTGATTTTGCTTTTCAAGTTTAGGAATGCTGAAATAGCATTCCTGAATTTGATTTTTGAGTTTTCATTCCTGTTAAGGACCGAGGATGGTACCTCACCAACAATATTAGTATCCTGATACATCTTTAAAAATATTATGGGATAGCTGGAAGAGGATTGGACCAGGAGTCAGAATGCCTGGGTGCTGGACTACCTTTGGGATTTGTTGGGATTTGAGGCAAAATCATCTAACCTCTTCGAGCCTCTCTTCCTTATCTGCAAGATGGGCTTGAACATGTCTGTTTTTTCTCTCTCTCTCATTGCACTGCTCTGTGAGGACAGTTGAGGCAATGAATAGCTTTGGAAGACTCTGGACACTTCTCAAATGTCACTGCGCACCTGAGGATCTTGTTAAAATGCAGATTCTCGTTCAGTAGGCCTGAGGTGAGGTGTGGCCTGAGATTCTGCATTTTTAATGAACTGCCAGGTGATGCTGCTGCTTTGAGTCCATACACCCCACTTTGAGAAGCCAGATTCAGTTTAAAGCATTATGTTGCTAGGTGGGATATTATGATTCTCAGGAGAGTAGTTGTCCACCTCAGCACAGAGCTTCCCAACACTGGTGTGCCACAAGCAGCCAAGATGCAGATCCCTGAGCCTTGGGCCAGTGGGGCAGGGCCTGGGTTGCCTGGAACCTCCTAAGTTCCTCTGGAATATCAAACGCATCGTTGTTTTGTGTGTGTGCTGGGAGGTGAACCCATCTGGGAAGTGCTACACAGTCTTTGCAGATCTCTCAACAGTTCTGTGAGATGTGGACACGGAGATGGGAAAGAAGGGATGTGGGGACGCAGGTGGGAGGTGAAGACTGGTGAGGTGATAGGTCTGGGAATGTATAGAGGGTTCTACAGACAGATTTGGCTTTGTCCTGGACCTCACAAACTGCCCCCGAGGGGATGTGTGTTCTCTCTCGCGCCTTGAGGACCTCCAGGTCATAAGCAAGTGACCATCACCCTCTCCTCAGCACCCTTCCCTCACCCAGTGCTGAGAGCTATGCCACCATGGTTTTGGTTAGAAAAATCAAGTGTTGAAGCATTTATATTTGTCTAATTTAAAATTATTTTAACTTTAGATATTTTACTTTGTTTTAGGAAACTTAAAAAAACTTTCTGAACTGTCAAAAGAATTGACAAATGGGTATATTTACAAAATATACCTACATGTTGTCTTACTGTTTATCATCTATCTTTCCCCTGTAGAATGTTAGGAAGCTTTTGTTTTATTTGGTGATATATCTCCCAAGCCTGGTGTAAGGTAGGCCGTCAAAAAATATATGTTGGCTGTTCAGTGGCTTGAAGACAGATCTCAGTGCTTACTTTCTCTTCTCTCTCTAGATGTTTATTCTTTTCAAGAAGAAGAACCGGTCTTGGATCCTTATTTGGCCAAGCACTTAGCGCATTTTGGAATTGATATGCTGCACATGCATGGGGTGAGGCCTACTTTTGTTTGTTTCTACCTTGCGTGGGGTGGGGTAGGGAGAGGGAACTGCTTGTTTTATTTAATAAGTAATTCCTCCAACATGGATCCTCATTTTGTAGGCGTCAGTGCTCAATTGCTGCATTTACTTCTTGAACTTGAGTAATGAGCATTTTATTTGGTTTACCACTTTACATTTTTAATGTCGTGATAAAAACGGCACCTCATAAAGTATTATTTTGGTTTTCTTGCAAAATTTCTGTCTCCTTTGATGGGTAGTCATGTGAATCACTCTTTGTTCACTTCACTAAAGGAAGAAGGAACGGAAAGGTGACCTTTAAAACTATCCGTGACCAACATCATTTTAATTAATTTCAGGAAGGGAAGCAAAGCCCCTAGGGGGGCCAGAATGAATAAGCCAACACGTTACTGTTGATGGAACAGCTTTGCTTCATTTAATATTGTGTTTTCAGACTGATATCATGACTATGTAATGTTTTTCTCTTTGAGGAGCTGGCTTTTTTTTTTTTTTTTTTTTTTTTTTTTAGGAACTGTTTAAATGTGCATTTTGTTTTCGCCTTTTCTTCCCAGGCTGTCTCCTTCTCCTCATGTTCCTATTCTGCTGCCTCCTCTTTGCCACTCATTTCCTTTTCACTTCATTTTCTCTGCTCTTCTGTAAACCACCTTCTTCCTTCAGGGCGCCCCCAAGGCCCATGGTTTTATTCCACCCTCCCCAACTGCCTTGCCTATTTGTTTGCTGTGTTACATTTAATCTTACCTTGAATTCAGTTTACCTACTTCTCTTTTTCCAAGTCCTATTTGACTTTCATTCTCCTCCTCCTATCTCCTTCCTGCTCAGTCTTACTCTCGCTTTCTCTCTTTAAAATCTTTTCCAGGCATGTTTTAAAAATTGTGGTAAGATATACCATTTAAACTATTTTAACCATTAAAGAAATCTACCACTTTAACTAATTTTTTTTTGAGTTGGAGTCTTATTCTGTCGCCCAGGCTGGAGTGCAGTGGCACATTCACGGCCACTCCTGTCTCAACCTGCTGGGCTCAGGCGATCCTTCCGACTCAGTCTTCCAAGTCGCTGGAACTACCGCGCGCTACCATGCCCAGCTAATTTTTGATTTATTGTAGAGATGAGGTCTCACCATGTTGCCC